TTTGAAGAGTGGGTTGGGTTCATAGTCAAAGAGGAAGAAGGATATTCCAGAGGAAAGGAACAAAATGTACAGAGGGACAGATCTGAGTAAATTTTGTATGTTTACAGTACCACGAGAAGGCTAGGAGCCCTGGTGGCGCAGTGGTTAAACTGCTTGACTGCTAACCAAAAGGTTGGCAGTTTCAACCCACCAGCTGCTCCACAGGAGAAAGATGTGGCAGTCTGCTTCTGTGAAGATTTACACCCTTGGAAACCCTATGAGGTAGTTCTACTCTGTCCTATTGGCCACTATGAGTTGGAATTGACTCTACGGCAGTGGGTTTGCTTTTCTGGTTTATGAGAAGGCTATTTAAGTTAAAATCTTTTGAATACTGCTAGTAAGCAGTCAGTATTGAATAGCAACTTCTGAAAAATATGAGCAATATTTATTATAATACGTTTTGTGTTTTGTAATATTTACTTTCATATCCCTTTAGACACTGGGAAACATCTTAATTAAATATTCTTGATTTGTGAAAATTGCTTTTCTTTTTTAGCAACTCTGCCTAATGACTCTTTCTTTGGCTATTGTTTGCTTTTTCAGTCATCTACATATATTTTATGTACTGTGTTTAACTGACTTCCAGTGAAATGCTGTTTAGATAATCCAAATCAACATCACTTTAGTTCTTGCATTGGTCTTGGGGTCTTTTAAAAGAATATTTAAAAAATTTTCTTCACTGTTTGGTTTGGTGGGGCCACCGAGGTTAGTAGTTGAGAGAAAACAAATTTATAGTAAACTTTATTCAAATGACCTAATGTTTATTAACTCCATGTGCTCTGGTTATTTTTTTGTGTGTGATATTCATGTGCTCAGTTATGTTATATAATGGCTCTTTCATGAGAAGGGTCAAATGAAGAGAAATAATCTTCCTTATGTTCTTTTTTAAATTACAACTAACCAGACTTCTTGAACACTTTTATAATTATATCCACACTGTAACATTAAGGCAGAGCACATTTATTTCATTGCCTTCTTAGAGAGCAGTGTTTCTTATACACCTACTCTTTACTTATCAACTATCTCACATTTCACATTTATGACAGTGGTAAAAAATCTCCTGTCTGACTATTTTGCACATTGACAATGTACATCTGGCAGTAACGAACGCCAAGGTGTGAGGGAAGAGTAATGCTGGCTGTGATGGTTAAGGTTATGTGTCTACCTGGCTGGGACATGATTCTCAGTGATTTGGCAGTTGTTTAATGATGTAATTTGGCAGTTATGTAATGATATAATTTGGCAGTTATGTAACAATATAGTCATCTTCCATTTTGTGATCTGATGTGGTCATCCTCCATATTCTCATAATGCCGATTTTCACATAACAACCTGGTCTTTGGAAACTAACCATGTTGATAAGTGATGAATGGGTGTAGTGGGGTCAGGATTTGTACGTCAGAATCACTTGGAATGCTACTCAAAATTCACATTCCTGGTCCTACACTTGGGCAGGGGAGTGAGAGAATCTGTATTTAATATACTTGCCGGGTGATTCTTCTACACATTATAGTTTGAGAACCGCTGCTTTGGGGAAATAGTGCCTCAAATCTCTCCATGGCTGTGCTGTAGCGACATGCATCAAGACTTGATAGATATTATCACTGGTCATCTTGCCTCAATTGGTATGTCATAGGACCTGTTTTATTTTTAGGAAATGACAAAAGATGCTTTTTTTTTTTCCCCTGAAGAAAACTTACTTAAAAATTGCTCAGCTCCCTAGGAAAAAAATTTAGAGATCTTTTTGTTATTTCTTTTTTTAATTTGGCATTATTGATTTTATATCAGACAGTAATCTCCTTATTGTTGTAAACATTTGGATTTATGGGTCTTTTTAATCAAATGCTACCATCTGTCAGTTTGTTGTACTGTGGTGGCTTGCATGTTGGTCTAAGCTATGCCATCAGTAGTTCAAATACCAGCAGGGTCACCCATGGTGGGAAGGTTTCAGCGGAGATTCCAGACTAAGATAAACTAGGAAGAAAGGCCTGGTGATTTCCTTCCAAAAAGTAGCCAACAAAAACCTTAAGGATCACAACAGATAGTCTGACTAGCTTGCTTTGGATATGTCATCAGGAGGAATCAATCACTGGAGAAGGGTAGCACGTTTGGTGAAGTAGATGGCCAGTAAGGAAGAGAGAGACCCTCAGTGAGGTGGATTGGCACAATAGGTGCAGTGATGGACTCGAACATGCCAGTGATCATGAGAATGATGCAGGACTGGGCATTTCATTCTTTGTACATAAGGTTGTCATAAGGCAGAGTAGACATAACAGCAGCTATCTATCTGTCTGTCTATCTATCTAATCTATCTATCTTAATCAAATGAATTGCCTATAGACCTCGTTTCATTAAAGGCCAATTTTTAAGTTTTAAAAGGTAAAAAAGTGAGAGCCATAAATGGTAACTTTTGCCTTTTTCCAGTGTTCCTGAGGATGGTATAAGGTGATTTACACAACTTAAGTCATTTATGGTGCTAGTCACTGCTTAAATTGGTGCTTTGGTTACATACTGCGAGTAGTTCTTGAGACTGTCTTGGAGAAATCATAATTTTTCAGCCTTTTTCTCTCTTCTGCTTGCTAGTGTTAAACCACTTTGCATAGATTATAAGGCTGAGGACAGTGTGGGTCATCTTTGCAATAGGAGCCGATGGTTATTGTCTGTGGTACAGAAATCAGGGAACATGGTCTAATTATACCTTATAATCTGTACATAATACGACAGAGTAGAACTGCCCCATAGGGTTTCCAAGGAACGACTGGTGGATTCGAGCTGCCAACCTTTGGTTAGCAACTAATCTCTTAACCACTGAGCCAGCCGGGCTCCATCATGATCACAGCTCCTTGGAATGGTCAGTTCATTCTCCACTTTCAGCAAACTAATACTCAGATATATTTACCAAAGTCATTTTGACCTTTTAATAGAGTCATTAATCTTTTCTGCATTCCCGTTGCTAGCACAATGTCTAGCACAGAGCAGATGCTCAATACATTTGTACTGAAATAAACTAAAAAGGTTAAAATAAATGGGACAGGGCAGGGAACAGAGCTCCTCCTTATCTTCTTCCTAGATCTTTTCCTTCCCCCAAGAAATTTTTTTTTATCTCATTTAATATTTATAATAACTCTGTAGGACAATGCAGAGTAACTCCTTCCTTTAGATGCCAGCCATAGTACATGACTTCTTGATCTTTAGTTGTAGGAATATGGTCACTGTCACCCTGAACCACAGATAATAACCATGGGAATTCAGATAAGATTAAGATTTGTCTCACAATAGTTTTCATCAGCTTAATTGAGATATAATACACACACCATACAGTTTAACAATTTATACAATTCAGTGGTTATTAGTAAATTTAGTAAGTTCATAATAATTAATTTAGTTCAAGACTCATATCAACATTTTTTACTTCACAGTTCCTGAGGTCTACCAAAAATCAAACCCATTGCTGTTGAGCTGATTTTAACTCATAGCGACCCTAGAGGACAGAGTAGAACTGCCCCATAGGGTTTCCAGAGAGCGCCTGGTGGATTTGAACTGCCGACCTTTGGTTAGCAGTGAAACTCTTAACCCACTACGCCACTAGAGAACCTCTTTGCCCCCATTCCTAGATCTTTTCCTTCCCTCAGAATAATAGTAACACCATATATTAAACACCACTTCCTATGAGGTCAGCATTGTACCTAGTTGATTTACAAATGTTCTCTCACTATATGCTCCCAGAAACCCTGGAAATAAGTTCATTCCTACATTATATACAGTGCCAGTAATACCGAAATACCTAACATTTATTGAGTACAATTACTATCTCACTTAATGTATTTGAAAACTTATTTTTCTAGACTCCGTTTTCCTTTTCACCTCCACTCCCATCAGTTATTATCTCTGTTATCATTTGCCTCATGCTTTTTTGTTTTACATCTTGAAGCTTGCTGGGCTTCTTTGTGGTGAAGAAGAGGGCTATAGAAGCAATTAGGATTTTGAAGCTTCTGATGAGAATCACAAAGCAGAAGATGGTTTTCTTCACACATTTTTTTAAATAGGGAAGGAGAATGCTTATGTTCAGACAGATAAGGTACAAGATTACAGAACACTATCATCATATATTTGTTCCTGCCAACCCTCAGTTATGACAGAGATACAAACAGTTCCTTGCTGTAAACTTTCAGGTGTTTGTTATTTTCAATCTAAGATTTGCTTTTTCCTCTTCAGCTGATGGATCTAAACTTCATACCAGTTAGCTAACTTCTCTGTACAAATGTTTCTGTAACAGATCTGTAGTTTTTTAAAAGAATATTTTAAATGCCACATGAAAAAAATATCATGTAAATATGTGGTGAAGTATCAGTGGTTAAGGGATAGAAAGAGGCTTCTGTAACTTTAGACAGATGTATAGCCAGACAAAAAAAAAAAAACGATTCTCCTCCAACTCCAGAGCACAAAAATATTCAGACTGGCTAACTTTCCACTACTGATTTAAATATTTTATATATTTTCTGGTGAACAATTAACATTGACGACTGAAGCTCATTTTTCTACTGGTTCTAAGTGTAAAGGGAAATACTTTTGTATTTTACGTATTTCTTAAACTGTGGGAAGATTGTTGCTAATAGAAGTTCCCTAGTAGAAGAAAAACTTTTCCAATCCTAATAATTATTCATTGAATCTGAACTATTCTAAATGAAGGGTATGAGTAAGACATTTTTGTCTGTTTTAAAGTTACATTTTTTTTTTTAAACCAATGAGGCTGCTTTATAATTCCCAAAACTAAACAGCTTGAATGTACAATTTTTGACAATTGTTTATTCAGTGTTTAGTATTGTTTAAGCAGATATAGTTAATATATTTTATTTGTCCTACTTAACATCATATACTGTCATTCTGAATTTGGGAGTTTTCTTGAAATGTAAGCAAAGAAACTTATGTTCTAATGGTTTTATTTTGTTTTATTTTCCTAGGAATCAGAGAGTAATAAATTATGTTCCCTATATTCCTTCCGAAATACCTCTACCTCACCACATAAGCCTGACGAAGGGAGTCGGGACCGCGAGATAATGACCAGTGTTACTTTTGGAACCCCGGAACGCCGCAAAGGGAGCCTTGCCGATGTGGTGGACACACTGAAACAGAAGAAGCTTGAGGAAATGACTCGGACTGAACAAGAGGGTATGTGTGGACTTAACTGTTGGGCTTTTTTTCTTCTAAAGATTCCAGGCCTTTAAAAAAAAAAAGAGTGGGATTTCAAGGGCCAGAAAAGTGTATAATTGGCACTAGCTAGGAAAAAGTTATTCAGAGGTTACCATGGTGATGGCAGATTGTGATCCATTAGAAGTGTTAAGCAGATAGCTCTGTTTTTCTAAAACTTGGTGCATTTTATTTGGTTCTTCTGATAACAGATCAAGGTTTTAAACCGACTGTAAGCCTACCCTGACAAAAGTTACTATGGGAATTTTCCCAACTACGACTTTATTTTTCATTTATGCTCCTTTACTTCCTTTTGGTGGATAGTGTTTCCTTATACTAGTATCAAATGTTTAGAAGCAAAAAAAAATCAAATTTATTATCCTAATTTTTATGAATATTATTATTATTTTACCTTCAAATGTTGTGGAATTGAGAGTTGAAGGTTTCCAATATCGTGAGGCTAAATGTTCAAGGGGAAGGGGTGCTTTGACACGTGACATCTGCTGCAGGATCCCACATCCACCTTCTTTGCTTTCTCCACAAGTTCACTTAGGTACACATAGGTCCTAAAAAACAGGTGAAGAAGGCTCTTCAGTAATATTTTTAAACTAAATAAGTCTAAGTGACTGCTGTACTATGTATGTTTTTTCATTTTTCTTAATTTACAGATTTTAGGCCATAAAATGTAGGGTAAGTAATGACTGGATTTATTACTAGCATTGTAAGTTAAATTCAGACCTCTTTGGCACTATAGGGGAATGGAGATTTGATATCATAGGTTTTTTTGTGTAACTTAATTTTATTCCTTTAAGGGATCAAAATTTTTAAAGTTTCAAACTATTTGTGGAGGTACCTGCTTCCCTGTTTTACTAATCAGATTATATCATACAAAATGTAAACTTTTTTTTTTTGATGACTCAGGGTCATGATGTGGTAGACTAGGAATTTCAATACCTGTCTACCAACTGTATAACCCTCGGTAAGTTTTTCAACCCCTCTAAACCACAAAGTTTAGAATTTGGTATGGTACTAATATCTGACTTGGCAACTCAAACTTTTTGAGAATCAACTATAATAATGAATATAAAAGTCTCTTAAGAACTGTAAAACTATACAAGTTTGAGGTGTCAGGATTATCACATTATAAATGTATTTTATTGTGCTATAATGAAATGATGTCCCCAGAGATCTTTGAGATGATTAGTACTATTTAGCTTTATGATTATTTCCCTGTAATTACTAAACTTTGGAGTTCTTGTGTATGATACACACACACATACACACACCAAAATATAAATGTATTTGTAAAGAATATGTGTGTGTGGTGTGTGCACGTGTGTGTGTGTTTCTCCTTCTTCAATATAAGGTTGCAGGTTGTTACTTCTTGCTTTGTTAATTTAATCTTTCCAGTCATCTATAGATTATGAAATTAGATGATTATGATATTCCGGACTATATATAAAATATGAACAGATTTGTTCTGAGCAAGTTGCTGAGAGATTCTCTGATGGGTAACGTGATCTTCAGTGCATGGACTTTGTGTTGAGCCTTCTGGTTGCTCAGAGACTTTGTTTTCCTGGTTCTTGGCTATGTTCTAGAATAACTGAGGCTGCCAGATCAATGATGTCTGAATGACTGAGGTTGCTAGGTAACTTTTAATTGTGATTCACAAAAAGAAGATGGTTTTACTATAGCCAAGTACATGGTTTTCTAAATACTTTAGAGGGCTGTTCAGTGTAAAAATGAAGAAATTGATTTGTGATGATTTCTTTTTCTGGACTACTAGGGAATTTTAAATCCCTAGTAATGCTAGGGTTTTATTTGCAAGTAATAGTTAGGAGCCCTGGTGGCACAACGGTTAAACACTTGGCTATTAACTGAAAGGTTGGCGGTTCTGCTCCCATAAGATTACAGCCTAGAAAACTCTATGGGAAAGTTCTGCTTTGTCACTTGGAGTTACCATAAGTTGAAATCGACTTGGCAGCTCCTAACAATAACAATAGTTAGTTTACTTCTGCAAGTAATGCTTAGTTTCCTATTTTCTCTCTTCATTATTATGTGCATAGTTAATTTTATGTAAGAGAGGCTCTTGCAAGATGAGATTACTCATTTAAGAGTCCTTTACTACTATACTTGTATAGCAAAGAATTTTTTTTTCACCTATTTTACAGAAATCTGATTGTTTTCTACTGTACATGTATTTTAGACATCAGAAATTAAGGCATTTTTAGTACATATTAATGTATTTCATATATTAAGTACAAATTTGAAGTGATAGGAAACATGATCAGTAACTATACAGATCCCACTAGTCTGGGAAGAACAGTGAATATAATGTATGAGAGAAAACTCAAAACATTTTGACAAACTGAAAATATGAACTTAAAACCAACCATCAAGATCCAATTTAATAGATCATACTTTTAAGTTCAGAAGTTGTAACCAAAACCCTCAGGTGCACAAGAAGTTACTGAAGGAAATTAAATAGTAGTCATATGGATGGAAAAAAAGCTAGAGTTTTAGTTCACAGAAAGCACAGTGGGGTCAGCACTGGCCCTAAAATTGCCAAGGCTACATCAGTCGACATTAATAGAAGTACAGTATGTAGCATTCAAGAGATGGTAGTCCTATTGAACTCTTCTGCTCAATAGAATGCACTTGAAGTATTGTGTTGAGTTCAGAATTACTACACTTTAAGAGGGACTAAAAAGCATTGGGATATGTTCAGAAGAGAACAGTTAGCATGATGACAGTCAAGGGAATTCTTTAATAAGAGGAAAGGTTGAGGGAATTAGTAATTTGCCAAGAGAAAAGAAGATCAAGGATGACATAATAGTTGTCTTTAAAGTCACATGGAGGAGAGAGTGGGCTTATTCTATATAGCTCCCTGGGGTAGAATGCAGATCGGTGAGAAGTTACAGGGAACCAGTTTATGGTTTATATCAAGACCGACTAACAGTCATAGCTGTCCTTGTATGGAATAAGCTTCTTTGAAGATAATAAATTGTTTGTCCTTGAAGTTGTGTGGCAATCTCAATAACCATTTTTATAGGGCTATTGTAAAGGACAGAGGATTGGTTTCTTCCCAATGCCAAGACTCTATGAATTTTTATGAACAATATTCTGTAGTTCATAGTTTATCTTTTATAGCCATAATTAAGAACTACATAAACTCATGATTATTTTTCTACAAGTTTTTCTTCTTATGTGCAAGGTACTATATTAGAACTCAGGGATTCTTACCTTCTGACTTTTTTTTTTTTTTGCTGTGGGAGTCTGGTGAAGCCTACAGATCCTTTCTTAGAATAATTTTAAATGCATAAAGTAAGATACATGGAATTACAGAGAAAACAAATTATATTAAAATATTAAATAATTTCAAGAATTTGTGATATGATTGAATGTGCTACTTTACTAATGCATTAAATAACAAGATATAATGGGGGGGCTAACAATATCATAATTTTGAGGTAGTAATAACCATAAAAGATATTTTGAGATATCTGCAATAAGTATAATTTGATACAAAAATATCTATTGTGATTCTATTGGTGACAATGTCTTAGGTACTACTACGACCCTGTTGCTTGTTTCCTGCATTTGTAGTTTAAGGAAGTACAAATTTCAGTTACAGATTAATGATCTTTTTTTTCCATCTAAGTTCACAGACCCCTGAATTCTATCCATAGGCTCTTGGTTGTGTGGTCCTAAGTTAAGAGCCTTAATACTAGATGATATGGGGCACCCATAATAAGTAAAACAACAGTCTTTAAAGAGTTCATATTCTAATAGTAGATAAAAAAAAAAAACAAAAAAAAACTCATTGCTGTCAAGTCAATTCCAACTCATAGTGACCCTATAGGACAGTAGTAGAACTGCCCCATAGGGTTTACAAGGAGCAGCTGGTGAATTTGAACTGCCAACCTTTTGGTTAACAGCTGAGGTCTTAACCACTGTGCCACCAGGGCTCCAATAATAGATATAAGACATATATGTAAAATGAACTCTAATTCAATGTCTAATGTATGATAAGTACCATGGTAGCTATATTGACAAAATATTATGGGAGTTTATAAGATAGAAATTGCTCCTGCCTAGGAAGCCATGGAAAAGTTTTGTAAGGAAATCGATCTTAACTAATTTTGGAGCATGAAAGGATTTATATAGGCAGAAATGGAGGGGAAGGATATGTAAGGCAGAAGGAACAGGCAGAGAGCTTTAAAACAGCCAATAGTCAGGCTCTAACTTAAGATATGTGAATATACATATGGGATATAACTTTCTCAGTGGTTGTGTTCAGATCATGAAAGCCCTTTTATTCTAGCAGTTTGAACTTTATGTTGAAGGTGATGGAGGATCCATTGACTATTTTGTAGCACAATGAAGTGGTGGATTAGAGCTTTCCTTCAGGGAGGTTGATCTGGCAGCACTGTGTAGGATGGATGGGAGCAGGGAGAGGTATTAAGGAAATTGTTTCAGGCTAGAGATAATGAAGGCCTGAACTAAGGCAGTGGAAATAAGAAAGGAAGGGATGAGGGGTACATATGGAAAAGACATTAAGACATAGAATTGTTAAGACTTGACATTTAAGTGTGGAGATCAAGAGAGAGGAATGGTTCAAAGGTAGCTCAGAGCTTTTAAACTTTGGGTAAGCAGGAGGGTGGTAATACAATTAATTAAAAAAGAAGTGGAGGAACATGTTTTGGAGATGGATACAATGAAAATTTCTATTTTGTAATTCTGAGTTTGATATCCTGAGTTTGAATTCTAATTTTAATTATCAGATTGGAGGAATAGAACAGAATAGTATAATGGGAGAACAGAAATAATTACAGAAAAGATTATTAAAAAGGTTTTGATAGATTTCTGATTCTATAATAATTATATTCTAGGTTGAAGAAGGTATAACAACTCCACCACTATTTGCCTACCCTTGACACTTTGAAGCTCCAGGTCTGTCTCCTTATTTGGGACACCTCCTA